TGACAGGTAGGTTCACACACACTAATCCAAAGTCAAAGTACTTTACGACTTGAAGGTTTTATGCAAATCAGATTTTATTTCTTCAAGACAAGGAAAGTGCCTATTAGATAAGTAGGAAATTATCACTCTAGATGTTGCTCCAGGACATTGTGGGTTGATAAAGCAGAGCAGGAATGCTACCTCCTGACAATGGGTAAGACTGTGGCCCAAGATGAGCTAACTATACATTTCAAAGCATGTACAGAAGTTACCTACAGAACACACACCTAGTAAGAAGCCTGATCATAGCAAATAAAAAGCAGACCTTCAACATGTATGCAAATATACAACATGTAGATTTTAGGAATGTCAGTGATATCAAATTATTATACAGATACAGTTCAGTTCTACCCACACTCATGCAGGGCCAAACCCAATGGAAATTTGTGGCATTTATTTTGAAATGACCACTTTTAAAATCATTGCTTGCAACCTAACCCTGACAACAGTTTGCTGATAAGCAGCTTTACATATTTGATTTCCATTCAAAAGCAAGACTATATTTTTCTTTCCTTCTCTCCAATCAGCTGGCCACCCTACATTTTCTTTAATGTGATTGTGGATCAAATCAGGCATCATCAGCTCTCTCCAAATGAAGTATATGGAACAAGTTGCTATCGTCCCAATGATTGTCTCAGCATTTTTGGCCTAGAGCAAAAAAGCATAAAAATGTTTTCTACCTGGTATTCTCTCCCATTCAGCCAGATGACATCTGCAGTATAAATGTCAACATACACCAACTTGACCTACATTAGGTTTAGGCAACAGAAGGTCTGGGCATCTAAAATTAAGCTCCACAGCACAACCCCTAATCGGTCCATGTACACACAATGATGCACTGTATCCATACTCTCATCTGAAACACAGGCAAAGAAGCAAAGGGCTATTCAACTCATTTAGCAATGTGAACAGCAAAGACGGGCGTTGATAGGGCCTCTGCCCTATTGACACACATCAGCTGCTCATTCTCATGCACAGAGGTAGGGACAGGCTGTGTGTGGCTGAGGAGCTCACAGGGCTCTGCCATATCTTTTGTTACTCTGCACACTGAGGGAGGGAAGAGAAGAGGAGGAATTGTAGTCCTTTGCCTGTATCTCAACTCACAAGGGACTGAGTCACTGGGCAAAGCCAACGTTGTTGCTGACCTTTATACCCTGGCTAAGTTGACTACAGGAGTTAAAAGAATTAGTAGTTGACCAGAGGCCTGAAAGCATTGTGATTCCATCAACTGAGAAATGCTATAAGGACAGAAGTTTGGGGCAGGCCTCCAAATGCAGTACAACTGAGCACCACATTCAGAGGTCAGTAAAAATACTGTAGTACTATTTAAATAAATCCTCCTCCTCCTACTCCATGAGCCTATGAAGTTCAGAGTTTCAAGTTATCTCATAACTCTTTGCTGATTTCAGCTTCCGTTCTTCGTCCCGTTTTCGTTTTCTCTGGGGCTTCCAGTGGAGATTATGTCTGGGATTATGATGCCTTTTTGCTATCTTTCCCATTCTGACTGCCTCTGGAATTGTCCCTGAGTCAGAAAGGAATTGCCCTTCCTTGAAATCCACCATTTAATGAACCTGCAGTTCAGTCTTTTTTTATTCCCAATAAGGAAACTCATATTAAATAGAAAACTCATATTAAACTATATCTATATATATTCTTCCCTTGCTACTTTCCCCTTCCCTTTGTTGAATTTGTACATTATAAATTTTACAGGACAGAGTTGTGTCCCTAACATATCATGGATATCACTAATTCTAGCTGAATCACTAAAACAACCTTTTTTAATCTGGTTGCTTTCAGAATATTTGGACTATAGTTCCTATCAGCCCCATCCAGCTGGGCCAATGTCAAAGGGTGATGGGAACCGAACACAAGACTTTTGGAAACAGCCACATTGGATAAGGCTCTGCTAATGTAATAGCTCCATTCTGTATGTTGCACAAATTTTATTTTCAAAGCCATGAACATCAAAACCCTAAAGATAAGTGGTACTTTAAAGTGTTTATCTTTCTTGTTGGTGTTAGAAGTCTATATATATGAACAAGTTAACAATGATGATATTATAAACAGATTTAATCAAGAGACAATATATGAAGGCAGAAACAAAGGAAACCCTTGCAAACATTCAAAATTCAACAACCTTAATCATTCAGAACCACAAATAACGAAGGAGAACCTGCTTCAAGGACACAAAAGCTGCTAAGTGAACAATTAAGGATTAAGATATGGAGTTTGTGCTATAAAAATCTAGACTTCAGAATGTGAATTGTGATTTGCTCCATCATAGTTTTATTTGCACCATCTACAATGCAATAGTTAAATTTGCAACTTCACACTGAAATCAACAGTTTTTATCTTATATCTTTCACCTACCATTTCACCTACCAAGAGAGGTTTTGCCCTTGAAATACTGTAGGTTTCCACCCTCCAAGAAAGACAAAATAGGTAGAATGAGAGCTGCTTCAAAAAATACTCTTTGACATAATGCTCCAAATTACTGTAGATTAAATGACGTACTGTAGTAATATACATGTCATGGCTATTCTCTCCTCACTTTCCTCAGTTTCCTGGGAGAGACTTCCCACTCCAACTCCTCCATTGCCCAGTACTACCAGGCATATCCCCAAGTGAAAGTGAAAGTTTACGTTCTGTCCCATTCTACCCCATGCATGGTTCTTGTAGATGGTAGAATTCACTGTGATCCTGTCAAGCAAACATTATGGTTTAATCTTTTACACTGCCAAGAATTACTACTGTGAGATGGGTGGTCATATAAATAATTTAAATAAAATAAATAAGTAGTGAATTGTATTCTCATTTAAGCTGTTCTGACAGAGTACGAGAAGGCTATGGTATGAAAAAAAGTGAATAGTGAGATATTATTCTCTCAGAATACTGGAACTCAGAATCATTTAATTAAGCTCTTGGCCTAACAAGTTCAGCATAAATAATTCCTTGATTAGCACAAATTGTTGAAACAGATGGTTTGAAATAAAGATGAAATGATCTGTGAAAAGGTGAATCAGTGGCTAGCAATTTGCTTATGCCCCAGGTTGGTAAATGGCATAACTCAGAATACTTAATGTGGGGAACAATATAATTTCCTTGTGGCTTTTCAAGGGCTCTGGTTTTGCACTTAAAAGCTTCTTCAAGTTAATTCTCTTTCAGCTGACAGGTTGGTAAATGGCATAACTCAGAATACGTAATGCGGGGAATAATATAATTTCCTTGTGGCTTTTCAAGGGCTCTGGTTTTGCACTTAACAGCTTCTTTAAGTTAGTTCTCTTTCAACTGACAGTTTGAACCACTGGGTAGTTAGATAATTTTAGGCCCTGGCTTTTCTCTTATATTCCTCTCAAACACTTCCAGAAACTTCAAGTTCAAGATCTTGATTCTTAGGACATGTACTTCATTTTAAAACATTTGCATCTTATGAATTATTTCTTGGTCAACCAGACCCACACAAAACAAAATTCCAATGATCACTCAGTATTCTGAAAGATGCGTAACTTACACAGCCTCCAACACATCATTAGACCAACAGATTTTGAAGGTACAGATTTAAAAAAAAAAAAAGATGACCTACAGCATCTCTCCCTTTTGAAGACAGCTTTTTCATTCTCCCAGGGCAGCCAATCTCTCTCTCTCTCTCAAAGGTTCTCCCTCCTGAATCAGGCCTAGGACAATCTTGGCAACATAGCTCTACAGTGGTAGCTATTAAATTAATTATAGTTGTATTAATACTATTGCCCGGGAGAAATACTTCCTGGAATTTTGCAGCTCAAGTGCTGAAATAACCTCACATATCTTAAAGAGATTGAATTATGACTTGGGAGATACTGTTAGATGGTATGCCTGAGGCAGCCCCCTCCTCCATACCAACCTCTTTGATTGTGCTCCTAATTTCAGTGCACAATCAAAGTCTACTAACCCTCCTTCTACATGGCAACTAACTATATTGGCTACTGCTGGGTTGAATTGCTTTCTATCCTTTCTTATGCTGACAGAATATTTTTACTGATGTGTGTCAACTGGTCTTTGACGCACTGATGTGAAATTTGCTGTCCTTGTTGCCAATCCCTATCCTGCCTCCATTCTCGGCTATATGGCTTAGAGGGTATTGTGATAAAGGAGAAAATGCTACTTTAACATCAGTACAGCTAAGGATGACTTAAGCTATTTCAACATCCACAGCATCATTGGGTTATGGTTGAAATGATATAAAGCCTGACCTCTATTACTGTGATTTTAGCAGAACAATGGCTGGATGACTCGAGAAGATGCTGTAAGTCGCTAGCAGGGAAATGACCTTGTCTCATTATGGACTGTTGACAAGAGGATGGGAGTGTCATGGGGACGTGGCAAAAGAACTGTTACCAGGGCATGTTTCTGCCATGGTTAGATGCAAGTGGAAAAAGGATCAATGACTGCAGAGAGAACACTGCATATAGGGGTGAGGGTGAGGGTGGGGGTGGAGAGAGGGTTTTTTTTTTCATCTTTTGCAGCAAAATCACTAAAGTTTCCTGGTTCCTCAAAGCCTAATCAATTTATCTTGGTATAAAGCTACCTTTCCCAGCCTGGTACCCTCTAGATGTGTGGGACTCCAAGTCCATCATCTCAATAGGTGATGGAAATTGTAGTCCAGAAGATCTGGTGGGCTCCAAGCTAAGGAAGGCTGATTTGGATGTGAATGCAGCTTTCTCTTGCTTTGTCAGACCCCAATTCGTTGCTTGCTGAGGGGATCCTTTCTAGCCATCATCCAATTGCTCTTTGATGCACAATTTCACTGCAAAGAAATCGCAACATGGATAAAACACCCACACACGTTCTCCAGCAGAAGGGAAATTTCCACATTCTGCATCTGCAAGGCCTCCCGGCGCCCCTTCGCCTATGTGAATCTTGGAATACTTGGGGAGGGAAGGGGGGGTGCACACACGCCCGGATGGCAGGTCCGCATCTTTTACCTTGGGGTCCTTCTCGTAATAATACTGCTGGGTGCGGATCCACCGTCCCACCAAGTGATCCCGCACGGTGTGCGCCAAGGCGAAAAAATAATCCCGCGGGGTGGCCACATTCCGGTCTTTCACCAGGGTGAAATGGAGGTGCCGGTTGAAGCTCTTCCTAATCTCCGCCACATCGCCCAGCCCGGCGATGCCCCGCACACTGATCTGTTTCCTTTTCTCGCTGTCGCTCAACGGAACGGCCATCCCGGCTCGCTAAGCGGTGGCCCAAGGAGGGTCGCCTGTCTGGAACGGCCCAGGCGCCGGCGCTGCGGCTGATCGGACCGAGCGCGCTGGCAGGCTTCCCTCCCGCTCTTCCTCCGGCTGCAGCCGCTGCCTGGGGAGGCTCTCCGGCTAGCTGGACGCGAGGTTCATCAGAGGTGAGGGGGTGGGAGGAGAGCGAGGAGCGGCCGCCCCGATCCTCCTCCTGCTGGCGGCGCTTGCAAAGCCCGGGCCGACCTCGCTGCGGCAGCGCCTGCGCTGTGGCACGAGGCAGCCGGAGCAACTTTCAAA